CAGTGTCAGCGTGACATTTATGTTTTCAATAATAATGTTATCAAAAAAATAAAGTTTGTTTGTTCGAACGAACGTGATCCAGTACCGCGCGGTTATTTGCCGAATCACATTCAATTTGTGCGGGGAAAACCCGGCTTTTTGTTATAATTTGACATTTAATATTTTAACTCTTAATTTCATATAATTATAATGATCTATCACTTACCGTTTATACTTAATATTGATTGCTATTCCGCGACATGTTTCTTTTCTTCAGTTGGAATATGGTGTCGAGCCTGAAGCTCTGAGGTTCACCCCGGAGCCACCTCCATACGCGCAATGTGAGACGACACCCTCCATCACTATGGACTCTATACGGTATACTTTTGTTTCTAGTATACTTTGTATAAACTTCTCGTAGAAAGAAATCTTACAATTTAATTTTCACCGTCTTAATTTTGTCTTTTGAATATTTATTATATTTTAATTGAAACTCACCTTCACACATTCAAGACTTCTTTTTAATTTTAAATCCAGAAAAGTTGTTTTTAATATTGACATGTTAAAACATGCCTAACATGAAAATGGACCTAAAGTAGAGCCTTGGGGGACTCCATATCTAATTCTTACAGTCCGTGCTCAGTTTTAATTACTTTTTTTCATTCTTTTAGTTCTGTGTGTTTAAATATTCTTTAAAAGGATTTAAAAAACGGTGAAACTCAGTAACGATGTTTTATGTGAAAGTGTATTACGTGGTGTTCGTAATCGAAAGCATTAGCGGTGACGAGTGTGTGTGTGTGTGCGCAGGTACATGTACCTGGGCGGGGGCTCGCGGCCGGCGCGCTGGCGCCAGTGCGCGCGCTGCGGGGCCCGCGCGCAGCCCGCGGCGCAGCCCGCGCGACACCCGCTGCAGAGGGCCTGCGACGCGCGCTTCCTGCCCGCCTGCAGGTCCGTGCACACGCTTTCTTTACCCTCTCACTTTTGTATCCACCAAAGTGTACAGGTCAACTTAACGACATAGCCGTTCTCTGCCACTTATCGAGTACACTAACCTCGAATAAAAAGTGTCATACCGTAGCTAAAGATAATTTCAGTATTTACTTAAACCTATTTCTATTTATGTTTCAGATGTGGAGGAAAATGGACACTATTTTCAAACATATAATGATACGTTCGTATATAAGTATTTACTTTGTACATAAAATATATTTTTTTACATTGAAGTTTTGCTGTATCCCCTGCGTGTCCTGTACGCTTTAAACCTTTTATTTTAAGAAGTTGTTAGACTCCTCAAAAAAGTTAGAAAAACTTGAAATAAATTTATTTGAGTGTGAAAAGTAGATATCCGAGTACGTATAAAATAATACGAGCAAATTTATACAAATCCATATAAAAATATTAGTAAATAGAACTACGTGGGGAAAGATCTATAACAATAGAAGAAAGAAAACACCTCTCTTTGTTACTAATTTAACGTTATTATTTAATGATGGTAACATAGTCAATTAAACATTACTCAACGCAGAAACGAAATAGAATAATGACATGGTTTATAAAAGCCAGTTGTACAAGACAACGAAGGAAGCTGATATAATACCTGTATAAGAATAGAAGCAATCGAAAATCGTAGAGAGAGACAAAACCATATTTTATCACTCCGTGAGGATGAAAAGCAAGGAGTATCGCTACCCCTATTCGTCGCAATTGGTGTCGTAAAAGCCAACTGTACGAGTTCGTACAAGATCTGTCAATCAATCAATCAATCAATCAATCAGTTTATTTTCATTGCGAACATGGGTTTACAATTAGGTGTTACAGTTATAATATTTTTTTCTGCCACATTCTACCTTTAGGCATGCAATAAGATAACATTAATAACGAGTTGGGCTTATTTAATACATCATACAAGGTCAGAATTCTATTTTATGTCAATATCAATTAAAATAACAATTACAATTATATTATTAAAAAAATGAAAAATGTCATAATCATAATAAACAATGTATCACATTTATTAAAAAAATGTATTAATAGAGGGTATGGTGTAGTTATTAAAAACATGCATTCTATTATATTTTCTCCGTTAAAAACTCAGTTACAGAATAGTATGCTTTCATTTCTAAAAATTCTTTTAACTTGCTCTTGAATGCACTTATGCTCAAGTTTTTCCATTGTTGCGGTAAATGGTTATAAATTACTGGAGCCATACAGAAAACACTTCTACGCATAAGCACAGTTTTTGCTTGGAGTAGGCGCATTCTACTATTATCACGCCTGTTCCGTGTAACCGTATCCTCAAGCCGCGGAAATAAGCCTGGATTTGTTTTAACAAACATTGACATTTCCAAAATATAAATGCTTGGCAACGTCAATACTTTATACCTCTGAAAGTAAGTTTTACAGCTATCACTTGTTTTTAGTTTAAACATTGACCGTATGCATCTCTTTTGACACTTAAAAGCAATTAATGTATCTGTAGAGTTACCCCAGAAAATGATGCCGTAGCGTAAATTTGAGGCAACTAAACCGTAGTATGCGGTCATCACTGTTTCTGTATTGACGATTGACGTTAACGTATGCAAAGCGTATGCAGAACTACATAATTTTTTGCAAAGCGTCTCTATATGTGATTTCCAATCTAGTTTTTTATCTATCGTTAACCCGAGGAACTTCGAAGTCGTAACATTTTCTATACTATGATTGTCAATGTTTATATTTTGGTATATATAACTGATTGGAGCGATCCGTTGACTGAAATGTATAATCTTAGTTTTATTTAAATTGATTTTTAAATTGTTAATGTCAAGCCAGTTTATTATGGATGTCAAGGAATTCGTAATGTCATATTTATATTGAGTTATATCATTATTACAAGATATAGTAATTGTGCTATCATCTGCGAAAAGCGTTACAGTATTTTTTGTACATTTTGGAAGGTCATTAATATATAATATAAAAAGCAAAGGTCCCATTACGCTCCCCTGAGGGACACCGTACAAAACTTTCCGCTCATCTGAAAGATATAGCTCCTCTCGTTTAGTAGTGGGGTTTATTATTGCTATTTCTGTACGTTGTTTTCTGTTCTCCAAATACGATTCGAATAACTTTAGGACATTACCTCTCACTCCATACGCATCTGATGACTCTACACTTAAAAATATATACAGAATAAAACAAGTTTTATAACGAGTGTGCAGTATCGATCGCTGGACACGTCGCATAATGGCATAAAAGGGAGTAAACTACGCAGGACAACAGCACTGCAGAGAGAAGGAAAACTTGAAACAAACCCTATACCGACCCGTCTGACCAGCGTGGTATAGGTCGCCAAATCCTCCTTTCTAAGGAGAGTATATGATGATTACCTCAAATACTAAAAATTCACTGCAAAAAGGTATAAGCAACATGTACGGCTTTGCACGATTTTTACTATTGTAAAATATTGATATTTCTTTCATAATGCAGTAATGACCAAAGCAACAAAATCCTTAATTTAATTGTTCATTTAATCACAAAAATTAACAATATGTTTACCTAGTACGTAGTATTATTTTTTCCCGATCTCATATTTTCGTTGCTTTTTGATAGAATTTACTAGCAATGGGATTTTACGATGAGTCTAGGTTTGGATTTAGGCGTGATACGAGAAGGGTAAGAGTGTGTCATCATCCCGGAAATGCAGAACGGCTGATATGGGTCCAGGAAGTGAAGCCACACAGTGGCTCTCAAGTCATGGTATTATGAACGCTGAAACCGATTTTCACAAAGTCATGGCTCAGATTTCAACTTGATGCATGTCAATGCGTGTTCGCACACAGCTCAGAGAAACAGAGAGTACGTAAACTCAGTCCCATCGAGCCCGCATGGGACATGCACTAGAATCGTGTTCTGAAGACCCTGGACGGAGTGACAACAAACAACAAGTGAAAAAATTCCATTGGGAGCGATTGCCGCAGGATCAATAAACAATCTTTAATAAGGCGGTAATTCAATACAAAGTGTGAACAGAGGCGGTTACCCTTTGTATTGAATTACCATTTCATTAAAAAAAAATCGTTATGTAAGTTTTGTAAAGCATGAAGTTTTAACTTTATTTTATACTACGTATTTAACGGTACACATAATGATAATGATTGCAATTAAATGAACAATTGAATGAAGGATTTTGTTGCTTTAGTCATTCATGCATCAAATAATGCTCAGTTATTATTTATATAAGAAATATATTACAAGATTAAAAATCGTTCAAAAAGTTTAAAACTGTATACGTTGCTTAGACTTTTTGGATGTGTGTAGTTTTTGGTTCTGAAATTTTTGATTTATGTATTGATTGATTGAGAGAAAGATAACTAATAAAAGTATAAAACCACTAAAAACGCTTCATAATAGCTGTTAATTTTTAGTAATCATTAGTTGGATGAGGAATACAAACTGTATTCCTCGTCCTTTTAATTTTCACCCTTAGGGGTGGAACTTTTTCTTCACATTTGTATGTAGTAGGTATATAACTAAATTTCCAAATCAATTCATAAATGCCGGACTTCTGAAACATCATCATGATGTAGTCGGTTATGTCTCTTGATGTCGGCATTTTTTCAAGTTATTTATATACCAACAGTCAAAGAAACCCAACTACCTGTGTAGTTGTGTAATAATTTATACAAACAAACCCCCAGGCGGGTAGCTAGTTAACCAAATAATTAACCAAGTAATTAACCAAAACATTTTTCTTTTTAAAGAATCACTGCTTAGTCACAGCGTTAACTATAATAGTATCGCGTAAATAGTTATAATCACAATTCACCAGAGATAAGAGACTGATGTCAAAACAAGGCCTCGTTGATAGCAACATTATCAATGATGGTAACTTTTCCAGTACTGCAACGGTGTTGTCTGCAGAGTAAACATCTGCACACGTAAAATTATAATATAACGTCCTTGATTTTTTTTCTTTTCGATAGTTCTATAAATAATCAACAATTAGTGATGAACGGTATCGTTGTTACTTTGACCTAGAATAACAATCGTTTTTTGTTTAAAGTAAATTAAATTTATTTCAATTTTTTTCTACAGCTCGGCTTGCGCGAGAGTTACATGCGACCTTGATGCGATCAAAGTGATTTGTGTTTTCCCAAGCCTTTTAGGCAATATGTCTTTCCTGCCTTTCCTTTCATTTTAATAAACTCCCAAATGACCCATCTTATCTTTATAGTGCACCTAAAACGACGCATAAGAATTCAGTATTAATATTTTCTACAAAAAGCCTCAACGAGTTAAATGTACATTATCGGTCATTTGTTTATTAATGCATCTAGTTTAATTTTTAAACCTGTTTTTCAATCATTTTGACGATATTTAGAGCGCACATACTTAAATAGGTACAACGTTTCGAAATTATAAAATATGCTTTTTATGTCGATATTTGAAAACGCTGCAAAATAATTATTTACATCACTATGAGCCATAGAAAATAATTATATCCATTGCATATCGAAATAATTACATATGTACAGTAGAGTTATTGTCATTCATGTTACAAATATAGGCTCTTTAATATACTTTCATTGAATGTGTTCCGAAAGTATAGGTTCACTTGTGATGAGGAAATGTATTCACCAATAACGTATTACCATAACACTAATCTTGAGGATTAACTAAAACCAACTATTAAATAATTATCAAGTACAATATCCCCCACTTAATTTCGATGCAGGGTGTTGTCTTTGAATCTAGATGAAATCGGTTATGGTGACTAGCGAATAGTACATTAGATTAGTTCGGTTGTCATTACATCACTAGTTGTCGTTGTGAGAATCGTTGTGAAGCGTTTGCCTGCGACTGAGTTAAATTTTGTTCGCGAATTTACTAATACGTTCTCGGCCGTACTCAATAGATTAAAGTTTTATTCTAATAAACAAATAATTTATTATAAATGGCAGACAAAAAAGGTATTTATGCATTTCAATTATTAATTTCTTTGTTCCGTCTTGTTAAGTATACGTTTTGACATGTGTAACGTCATAGAAAGGCCTTGAAATACGAGTTATGCTATTATAAAACAATTATTTTATCCTCGAACTGACCAGAATAACCTAGTAGATAGCTTATTTCGCTAAAAAATGTCTGAAATATTGATTGAGTGGTAAGGTGCGGTAGATCGATAATGTCTTGATTCCAAGATGGTTGCCTACCCCTAACTGAAGGCGGGATACAATTTTGTTCTAATTTTAGGTCCGTTTGCCATTCTATTTATTGCAGGAACCCTATATTAACACTTAAACGGTCGTTTAATATTTAAAATGATTCGTTCAATGACTGAATTCAATGAACATATGTTTTGCTAGTATAGAAATACATGTTAGTAAAATGTTCCATTTGAATGACCTAACGCGATTTTCATTTTAATAAAAATGATTCTCCGTTGAGTTAGACATTACCTAATTATTCTACTTAAGCATGGATAAAAGGAGTAACTTAAATGTTAAAATTCTGCTGCTCTATCTGCATAAGGACTAAGGACATAAAATATTCAAAATTAAGTTGTTAATTAATAATAAATATTTTGTATTACTATTATATCTAAACTTAGTACATTCATACTCAATATCTCAGTATTCTCACTGTAATAAGTGTCCTAAATTTATATAGATATAAAGATTGAAAGAAAATTACACGTGAAATAGTATTGACTTATGATTCTTACAACAGCTTTTCTAATTAATAAAAAATCTTTGGTCTATGGCCTCAGTATTAATTAATAATTTGGCTTTAATGATGTTACACGTATTAAAACTGCCCAAATCTACATTTTAAGCTTTCTAGTTACTTTTAAAAATATAGTTAAAAAAAAGACTGGAGTTTATAATAGTGTCATAGATATAATAAGGACAAAGAAGGATTGACACTTATAACACTATCTTTGAGTCTGGTAATACACTGAGTGGTAATATCAATAAAATTGGAATCTAAATTGATGACCAATTACTTATTAAATTAAGAAAAATCTCTTGCACATTGGTTGTACCAATATAAACCATGACTCAGCATGACTTAGGTCATTCTGAGGTCTTTCACCTTTCCATAAATTTACAAAACTATTGCAACTCGATGTGCAAGAGACTTTTCTAAGGGTGCGTGAGACAGTTTGCCTCTTGCGTGCAACACTGAAACATGATGATAATACAAGTTACCCACACCCTCCTTACTCCCAGTCGCCGCCCCCCCTCTACAGGAGCCGCGAGTGCGCCGGCGCAGTCCCCGCGCGGCAGTCGACTAATCGCTATCATGTAATGAAATCACATAGAATTTTTCTTTCTTTATTTTCTTTTTTTTTGGAAACATAGTAAAAGAGAGACAAATATGATATGTGCGTATCGGCGTGTGGACGATCGTATGTGTTATTAATTCGATTGTAACCCGTTCTTATTGACTTGACTAATATACCTGAAAGTATATCTGATTTTCATAACAATACATTTGTTTCTGCACAGTAACATGAATTTTACATAATAATAAAAGTTATAATAGTCAAGTCTTTATCGTTTTTCTAAATAAATCAAGTAGGCGATTATGTGATCTATGTGGTGAAAATTTTCTCATTTTTTTCCATGTAATTCAATTTAAGAAGCATGACACAAATCCTAATGGACTTGCTGACATGAAGTTAAATGGTTGGCTGTACAGTAGATGTCTTTGCTTGATATTTTTTTGTACTAAAAAAGTCCTGGGTTTGTGACTACTAAAACAAAACACATAAATGCCTGACTGATTTCTTAGTTAACATGTCTTAAAAAAAATAAGTTGTTCTAAGTACCCCAAGTGCTGTCGGATATTAAAGACCATTTAATCTATGATAAGACAGGACTTGTTCCTTTAAAATATATGTGTCTTAGCTGTTTTTTTTCTTTTACATTTTTTTAAACAATTTAGTTATACAGCTTATTTTTTATTAATTTAACACTTTTTTTATTTACAATGATTACTGGTAAACAATAATTTTAATTTTGTTGAAAGGTTTTTAAATAATTACCAGTAGTTATTAATCTGTTGCTAGTTGATGCACCTTACATAACTGTGATGCAATATATTATGTACTTGGCTTTTGGAGACCTAATAGATACAAAAACATATATTGCAACATCAGTCTCCGAGCTCCCTATTGTTTTAAATATTAAATAGGGATGTCTTGTGTTTGTTTTATTTTTGTTTTTCTACCATAGAATAAGCTAACTTTTTAGTTATATTGTTATAAAAATAAACGACAAAGTATTTTTTTTTATAATGTGATAAAACACTGTTAAGAAGTAAATACAGGAAAGATTATTCATTTTTGTCATTTATTTTTGGTGTTGTTCTGAATCTTTATTTATTATTAAGGATTCAAAGACAATGGCACAAAAAGCTAGTTAATTTTTGTTACTGACTACAGATTCGACTTTTGACTGCATTTTGTTATTACAGCATCATTATTAAAATGAACGTTATTACGCAGAAAGTCGTGTCTATTATTTTATAAGACTGTGTGTTGACTAATACTAACATAATATAAACAGTAAATAGTGTTCAATAAATTTAAACAAATATTAATAATGATTAATGATACACTATTTAATGTTTAACCGCCCTCAAATGTATTTTTGTGGGTCTTTTATGTAAGGTGATGGTAAAATTGGCAATGGCAACATTAAAAAACAATGGTTTTGAAAATTGTTAATTGCCAATTTTTCAAAGTTGTATGTTTAAACTACACAAATATGTTTAACAATAATTTTAGATAGTGTATCTTGTTTGCACAGATACATATTCTAAGATGTGACTTAAAATCCTGATTGGCAATTTAATTTTACAGCCCGAATGTGAGGCAACTCAGGATTTTATGTCGATATGAGTCGAATATGTTAACAGGAATGACACAAATGTTAGTGTGTGTGTGATAAGATATAAGTAAGCAAATATATATCACATAAAATACGTACAAAAGGTGAATAAAAACAATCTTTTTCTGGTTTATGATGTAGATGTGTGATACATGTTTGTCAAATTTTGTCATTAGCATGCAAGTGCTGATGACAAAGTGAATACTGCATGCCAATATAAGCTTAATCGAAGGACAGGGAAGTATGCCAGTTGTGAGTGGCTTAAAAACTGGGTGTCTAGTGCAAACAGTTCATACACGGATTCATTATTCAATGTCATCTCTAGGATCCTCATTCATTTTCAAGTTTTATTATTTTCTTTTAATCATCATTTTCTTGGTCTTCTCAAAGGTTTTTCAAGTCTTTTACAGGGATCCAGATTTGCAATAACCACATTTATTCACAGCGATCATAATAGGCGTTTTAATAGTTTATTGTTATATTAACTTAGTATACCAATAAACTCCCCTGCTTGATGCATTTCAAAAATAAAATTAAGCTTTTACTACTTCAACGTATTTTGTGTCTGGCAACACCGAAAAAGTTGCCAGTTTAAAAAAAGTTATGGCAATATTTTCAGTGTTGGTTATAATTTAGTATTTAATGTTTAGGTGAAGGATGTTACCAGGTTTTTTGTGGTTTGACCTTGTTATTAAAAGACAATTTTGCTGTTTGCAACTGTCTGTAATGTTTGATTTGTGAGGAGCATGAGTTTGACATTTTTGTTTATTCATGCTTTTACAATAGTTTATTGTTTGATGTTTTAACTTTAATTAGTTAGCTAATTGGAGTATATTTTACTGTTATAATAAGGTTATTTTGAGTAGTTTGGTAGTGTTTGTTGCATGTGTAATGTTTTTAGATTTTTGTGTTGTCACTTGTGCATGTTTCTGTGTCCTTCAACGCACTAATATCATAGTTTTGTTTTTATTTTTTGCTTCTCCTGCATTAAAGACGCTTTCTAGATTTGAACAGCAAAATATCGTATATATATAAATTTTGAAAGTCAACAAAAAATCTTGGTACACACTTGTTGAATAGTTAGCTCTTATAATAGAATATGAATATTTTTTTGTTTCAAGGAATGTTCACATATTGTATACACATTTTGAATGCCAATCTTGGCAGTCGCTACTTGTGATTCTGAACTTTCAAACGTCGAAATAAAGTGCGTTCATAGTTTCTAGAGTAAATACATATTTACCAAAAAAAGTTACCAATTTTTTTTCAAAGTTCACAGTCATAATTATAAATAAATATTGTACTTTTTAAAAGGTTCCTTATCGTGTGATGATTGTTTTGTTATTTAAGATTTCTTAATGAAAACTATTTGGATGGTCACACTAGCTTCTTTTGCACAAAGCTTTAATTTTAAATGTAACTGATTATATGGAAAATGTACCACAAATGTTGGTAATTAAATTAAATACAGCCAGTATTGAGAGTTAGGCTTAAGGTTGCTTCTCGAGTACATATAGTCAGTCAAGCTAGGGTGACCATAAAAAATAAGGAATGCATTGTAAATAACTAATTTGGTAGGTATTCAGCACTCACACTCGTGTTGAAATATTAACGAATCCTACCAAATTTATTGTATTTTTCTCAATCTGGATCGAAGACTAAATATTTTTGACACAAAAATATTTTTGTTCGTCGGCCCGGACAGTTGTCACCACACTAACGAGTTTTTCATTCATATTAATGTGTTTTTATGTTAGCGTTGAAAAACTCAGTTTAGTGGTAACGCGTTGTATGGGCATCGCTTGTCGTTAACACTGACGTAAGTGACCAAACATGGGTGAACATTTAAAGCAAAATTTAACAAAATGTATCAGAAATTCGGATCTAATTTTTTCAAAGATTTTCATCCATATTCATCGCCGTGCTAAAGAATCCTAATGTTCGCTCTTCTGTTTTAGATTCGTTTATTGCAATCACGTTTAGAGATGAGACAATTTAAACCTAAAGTAATTTGTTTGATGTTCATATTAATGGATATTTAGCACGGCGCCGCCACTGCGTCAAGCGTGAATGCTCGGGCTTGGGTTGCGGCGCGCATTGCGCGATTTGCGCGCCATTCACATAGTCACACTTACATCACTATATTTTTAATAAGAAATTGTAATTAAAATCATTTCTTACTCGCATTGAAATCTTGAATAAATTTAAAAAAAGTATTGCTAAATTTAAAAGGCGAATACTAATGCGTTCTATAATATCAGTTAAAAAAATGAGAACATGTTTGAAATTTAAACGTAAAACATTCATCGCCTTAGGCGATTTTTTTATTAAATACATATCAATGTTACTACATTGACTAGTGATGTGCCGTGTGCTTTGTGATGGACGCGCGAGATTGTAGTGAGGTGCGCGTGTAGAACTGGCTAGTTGTTGCAGTGACTCCCCCGCTGGGCGCGTACCCGCAGCCACAGCCGCCGCAGGGACCCTTCCTGCCGGCGCCACCGCATCAAGCTGCTCCGCAGTATGGAGGTGGGTAGACTGTAGTGGACTAGCGTGATGCTGTCAGCGATGACATGGTTTACTGTTGAACGATTACGTCGGGACCACGTTGTGCTCAAGTCAACTGTTCGGTTTAATTGTACATATTACACACATTATTATTAACACATTTTACACACAGATTCAAAAGTTATTGTCATTAAAGTTTTAACTAAAGTTAACCGGCTGCGAGTACTTCTGCCCTGCTCTTTCTTCAGATCATAATGAATTTGATGAGATTAAATATAATTCTTCATACATGTCCATACCACCTCTAAAAGAAAATAAGAGAAGGTAATCGACTTTATACCTTACGTAGACAACTTTTACTCCTACTGCAAACCGGGTTAACGATATACGTACCCATAAAATAAAAGTTAAAAAAATAAAATGAAAAAGCGACAAAACGACGAGTTCCACTATCCACCTCTCCGCTTAATCATCATCACCAAACCCAATCTGTTGGATTGGACAATACGAACCATTTGAGCCCAAACATATAGGCTTTACCAGTTATCACTAACGAGTTTCCCATCCGACTTGCTGGCTCCATCAACACATTGGTTCTAAGATGTCAATATTGCCATCCAAATTACATAGTTTCATTTCATTTCGATCTGACAGAAGTAGATGTCAATTATCAGTCTAAATTGTCAGTCAGTTTAACTAAAAAAGAAACGCTAGTGATAATGTGGGTGTATGGCAATACTTAGCATGACGTGCTCCCGTCGGAATTCTACCATCAGTAACGTACAGTTTACACAACAGTTGCGGGCGGTTCGCCTTACGGCGTGACGTTCGGAGGGGCGGGCGCGGGCGCTGGCGGCGTGTACGCCCCACCCCCCTATGAACAGCTGCAGCACCACCAGGCCATACCAGCTTTGAGCCAGCAGTTACCGGTATGTACCATATATTGAAAACATTTACTAAAACTACCTACCCAAGCAGCTTCTAGATTTTTTTACAATTATCATTTTTACGTAGGCGTAACATATGTATGTTCTAAATCAGGAATTCCCAAAGTGGTCGATATCGATTCCTTGGGGTCAAAATTGGTTTCCCAGGGTTCGACATAAACAAAAAACTGATTTTGGGGGTCGACGAGGTTTAAAAATCGACCCTTAACACAACAATATTAACACAAGTTCTTATTTGAAACTTTCAAGATACTGTATTAGTTGTGTTACGTACCAACTTGTTATAAAAATGACTAATATTTTAGTAGGAAGTATTATTGTTGTTCTTTTAAAAAACTCAACCAAGTCGATAAGCGTGCAGTAATTTGGCTATAGGAGGTATGGGGGTATCAGTTCATTTTATAAAATAGCATCCTCTTGCCCTAAATAGTTTGGAAATCCCTGTTCTAAATTTTTGTAAAAAATAACGTCTTCGTTTTAGTTTTTTTATGGTGTAGGAAGGCAAACGAGCAGACGGGTCACCTGATGTTAAGTGATTACCTCCACCCAAGGACACCAACAGCTCACACTCACAAGTGGGTTGCCACCTTTCGAGGAGTCAAGATCCATGTGTGCCATGAAAACATTTCTTTACCGTCAGAATTCTAGAAAATCATAATGAACAGATTCTTCTGCGTTTTCATATAATAGCATCCTACTCCTGGCTCCTGAAGCTACTGCCATCTCAAACGAGTTTCTCCATCAGAAACTTGGCATTACACACTCCCTTAGTCAAGTTCACTCGACGATCCGTTTTACTTATCCCAGTTTAGCTTCGTCCTTTATCCTGTCTGCAAACGATTCAATAATAACCAAGAAAAGTTCTCGTGGGGCAAGAGCCATCTTTGGAGGGCAACTATGGAGGGCGTACTGGTTTAAGCGGTCACCTCATCGCTTTTTACTGCGCTGTGTGTTGTTTGTTCGATCCCCACAAGAGACAACACTTTGTGTGATCCACAAATTGTTGTTCTGAATCTAGGTGTTCTTTGTGTCCGTTTAGAGACAGAATAGAGCAAGCGAGAAAGACAGAAAGGTGAAGAAAGTGCTATGTTCGTGATACCATATTGTGTTGTTTCCCCATCCAGCAGATGTATAGTCCAGCAGCAGCCATGTACGCGGCGGCGGCCGGCTACCCAGGCTACATCGGGTACCCGGTACAGTACTACCCGTACTACCCGACTGCCGTGCAGCCCTCTATACAGCCACTCAGACCTACCATCATGATACCTGTATGTATAACACTGTATTCATGTTTTATGTTTTTGAATTACATACAAAGGTTTTTAGTGAAGACTAGTTGGTTTAGGCGATAGTGACTAAAATTTCAGATGATTCTGATATTTAATAATAAATAAAATAAAATAATTTACATAAGAAAATTTGTATTTAATTGATTTTTTCAGTGGCATTTAATAAATAAATTGGTCACCGGTTCGCAATCGTCGTATTATGTGAATTTTAATGAAAAAATAGTTTTTATTAATCTGTGTTATTGAAATATTGTATGAATTATCAATGTTTTTATGTTACTTGTATTAATAAAATAGTTAATATATAGAATGTATATCTCATAAAGCATTTTATGTTATAACTATAGTTAGTAAGTTAAAATACATGAGTTTAGAATATATCAATTATATCTTCATACAAGACAGTAGGTAAGTGTATGTTTCCATTGCAGAACGGGTTCGAAGCAGGCGGGCGCTTCGAGGGCCTGGCGCAGACGCTGCTGCCCCCCGCGCCGCCCGGCGTGCCCCCCTCCCCCGCGCACCTGGCCGCCCTACAGCCGCACCAAGTGCTGTAAGTGTCTACTTTTATTCTTTTCTCTTGGCCGCTATGTGCTGTGTTTGATATAATCCTTCCACATGTTGATATTCGACAATAATAATTATGCGTATGTTGCGCAACAGGGTTTTCTAGTGCACTAAAGTTTAACCGGGGGGCCGTGGCCACGTTTGTAACGGCGAGGGGCAGTTCTATGTCGTTCGCGTGCCCCGTTGATACCGAGGCACTGTGGTTCCGGGAGGTCCTGACCTGTGACTGCGATGCGGCGATGCCTAGGGTTCAGCCCAATATTGCGAGGTGCCAGGTCTACTGGTGGTCGCCTGAAATTACACGGTTGCGCGGTCCAGGTTCCGCAGAAGGCGTCACCGCCCCGAAGATGCAGCAGCGCGAGAGGCGGAGCTGTTAGCGGAATACAGGGTTGCCAAGATGACCCTTCAGGTAGCGATAAAGCGATCCAAGAGAGGCCGGCGCGAGCTGCTGGAGAGACTGGAGCGGGATCCATGAGGACGCCCTATCGTATGGTTAGGGGTAAGATGCGCCCATGGGCCCGCTGACCCGGTGTCTTCAGCCAGAACTGCTGTAGGGGATCGTCGGCTCCCTGTTCCGGAGCTATATGTGGTGGAGCACTCTGCTTCCGGCGCTTGAGGCGCTTAACGTGGATGACGATGACGTGTCTGAGGTCACTTAGACAGATCTAAGGGTGGCGGTGCTACGGCTTAAAGCCAAGAACACCGCCCTGGGACCCGATGGAAAGGAGGAGGGCCCGGCGGATTCACCATCCGGCTACCGGTTCATAGTGTTGCTTGACGAGGTGTGCAAACTCTTTGAAAGAGTGATTGCACGGCGCCTCGTCAAGCACCTCTTCAGGGTGGGCCCGGATCTGGCGGACAACCAGTACGGTTTCCGTCAGGTGCGCTCCACCGTGGATGCGCCACGAGGCGGTGACACCAGCTAGCGCTTGCCCTTTAAAACCACTTTCTGGGATAAACTCTCATTTAGAAGACGCCTGCCACACGAGGACGTACACCTCCTCGCGGTAGGCCTTCGTGGCGAGTGGAGGAGAAAACCTGTCCACCTAAAATTACACTTAGGGCGGCATGAAGCGCTGGCAGGCGCGCCAGCAATGGAGCGTGTAACGGCTGGTAGCGATAAATCCTCTCCGATGAATGCAATGGGCGCCCGACGAGTGTGTGCTGAGCCGAGTTCAAACTGCACTGCAGTGGTGCCATCGTATAGTGCTAGGAGTGATAATTCACTCCTAGCACTATACGATGACTGGCTGGACTGCCTCCACTGTGCCAAATCCAGTACATTGAGCCTCCAGCCGAGACGAATTTAGCCAGTTATTTTATTTCTACCTTTTCATCTCATGGGAGAGATCCACCACCACCCTCTGAGCATCTTTAAAGGCGCGCCTTATTCTGGGCGATCATAGCTGCCGCTCACACCATTGCACCTTATAGTGCCTTTGACTGGACAACTCTGGTCTATTACTACCTTAGCTACAGCTGCAGTTGTAGCAACTGCATTTGTGTGTGCACGCACTAGCCTCAATCTTCATAAGTATCAGAAAATGACAGCAAAGAAATAGTGACAGTTACGTAACGTAAATCCTAGATGTCTACTTTAAACATCTCTATAGAGTTGAGGAATTGTTTATATTGTGTAAGGTATGTGCATGAGGCCTATGTCCAACAGTGGACTGCGATAGGCTGATGATGATGATGATGATGTGCATAATTACTGACACATTTATTTTTATGCTGAGCATATATTTTTTATTTCTTAAAAAAAATTGCGCCTGCGCCCCTTTGTGACCTTGCGCCCTCCAGGAACGTGCCTGGTTGGTTAATTCGCCACTGATGACGAGCATGATTATTTGTTGCTGTGTCTGTATGTAATTTATCTATCATATGTATGTATTTAGAAATATTAGTCTTTTTATCACTATGGTTACCATAGTACAAGCTCTGCTTAATGTGGAATCAGACCGCCGTTTTTGATGTTTGAAGTTAACATTATATTTTTTATATTCTGTTTTATTAATCCCTACTAACCATTTTTTTTCTTTACAGCTGGCGTTAAAAGCGCGTGTTGCTAACCTCCGATGTGGGCACCTCACCGGCATCGAACCTCAAAAACTGAACCTCATGGTGAGACGACCTAATAACTTCAAATTGCGTTATAATATTGAAAACATTTGTAATAAAACAAGCGGGCAAGAGATTCTGACATTATGTCTCGCTATGATATTTATTGTATGTATTTGTTTGTATAAAACACTTTCAAACACCAGTTAGTTGATAATGTAGAAAAAAAAATAAGTTTTACATTACAAGTATGCCTATCGTGTTAGATTCACAAATGTTTTCGTACTCGAATATAATTAGGTTTCACATAAACTATCAGAATAGTATTACTGTCAAGAATTATTGGTCGTCTCTATATAATAAAAAAACTTTTAAAATAATCACTCCTCAAATGATCTGTTTCGTCTAGACGCCATTTTAATATCAATCATTGATACAAAATGGCCGCCTAGATATTAATGTATATGCGTATAATATTAGCATTAATTCTTTTTATGAAATTAAAAATGGCGGTGGGGCCTACGTTAGTGTGAATTAGCTCGATATGACTGTGATGACATGCGCATTGCCTGCTGTAACTATTATACGACAATTACATTCTTATTATGAGGTCTTTAAAGCATACTTTGCTTTAACAGTAATAAATTCAAAAAAATTAGATAAACTTATCATAGGTATGGTTATTACAAGATGTGAGCATAGATCGATATTTAATGTCATTTTTTCTTCTGTTCCATTGACTTCCCTTCTACTTTCCATCAAAATTATTAAAAAATGAAAATCAAAACGAATTTTTCTTGTCTTGCTCCCGTCTCGTAATAGTCTTTACACTAGAACTGTTTAATCTGATGAGATTTTTGAGAATATAGCATTGTCCCTTAGCGGCATGAAATACGTATGTGGTTAGCGGTAGTGTCGTATGTAGTGTGCGCAGGCGACACGCGCGTGTACGCACCGCCCGCGGCGGGTCTACGCTCTAGTATTATATACACAGGCCTGAGTGCGCCTGGCTCGTGTCGGTCCGCCTCTGCTGTCTACCTTGACACGAATCTCACTTGGCAGATATTTTGCTGATGACGACTGCGATTGTTGAACGAAAATCAAAACTACCCGCGTGGTCGTTACATAAATCGTTTTATTGTGTTATCGATATTGACGAAACCAAATAAGACACTTAAAATTAAATCTTCAAAATTATATACCTTTTTATTTTTTATCAAAGTAATCGATGAAAAAATCTGGCAATCTAATGAATTGGTGTACGCACAAAATTTTACAAATCATAAAAGTAGACCGACACGAGCCGTCGACGTGATAGTTATTATAAATAAATAAAAAATATAAACAGGTTGTGCGTGGCGTGTGTGAGCGAGACGAAGTGTGCGAGCGAGATGAACATGAGCAAGTGTTGTGTGTAGGGGCTACGCGGAAGATATGTGAAATCGATGTTTTTATTTAAAAGAAGTAAAAATTTAAATTTATTTATATATTTGCCATTATGTTTTTGAGTTTTTTTTAAATTAACATTATTTAAAAAATATATATATTATATTTTGTATTTAAAGATATTTAGGTGTATTTTTTTTTGAAATTATTTCTGTGATAGAACTTAAAATATCAATATAAAAATTTGTTTACATGATGCGTTAAAAATAAGGAAGGTTCCTTTTTCTACAATTAGTTATAAATTTAAAAAATGCCATATCTTAAAACTGCTGATCTATATTATAAAAAATTCTCTCTACCTCCCAGATCAGTTCCTGCTTAGCCCCTACACTTGTCTTACTCTGTGTCATATCACAGTATGAGACAGAATATTTAAACCAATCATTTTACTCTGATTGGTCCGTTGACTGTCCATTAAATTTATGGCAACACTGTATCAATGTTGCCAATATATACGCTTGGTGTGGCTGCTTTTATTGCAAATAAAACTGTATTTTAGAAAAGTGAACATTCGTATTCCGCAAAATTTATGAAAATTATACCGACTCTGTTTAGGACAAAATCGTATCCCACATGTGTTACAATGAAGAAGAGGAAGGTTTAGATTTGTTACGAAACTGATCAGAAAGAGTTGCAATATTATTAAAAGCATTATAAATGAGTATAATTATCTTCGAATTATACATATTAGTATAAGAGAATCCCAACTATATATTTTTAATCAGGCAACACAGTGAGTGCAGAACGGTGCTGCCATAAATTGATGATATTTATATACTGTATTTTTTCCATTTTGTTAAGTGCATGTGATTCTAGGAAAACGTGACAGAATCTCATTTAAATAATAGTTTATCTATGCTTATAAATGAATTGGTTTGTTTTTAAATTAGTACAAACTGAACTCTACCTTTGTATTGTCAGATATTATTAACAATTTAAATGTCATTGAATACGCCATATTGATTTATGTATTTAATAAAAATACTGTTTATTCCACATCCCAGTTATATCAAATAATTCTGATTGGCTCAAATTAAATAAAATGGCGTTTAATAACACAAAGACATGGAAATCGTACAGCACCTTCGTATTATGTGATCTCGACATATTCTTTGTATCTCGAATAATATTGAACATCAAATTTAAATAATAAGTCGTCTTACAATATTTTGTATCGTCAACATTTCAATTTTTACCAAAAAACTGAAAACCTGATATTTGTCATCTGACTTTAGAATTAGGATAACTTGTATCAAACGATATATATCTGGATACAAAATAATGCTTGTTGTAATAGTATCAACTGTAAAGTTAAGCAAGGGGAGATAATAAGGGAAAAAGTGTTTATTTACGTAGTCCAAGGACACGCTGACTTCATAATGCAATAAAATTTACTATCTTGAAAATTATAAAATATAAAATACCAACAAATACAATATTGTCACTCCTTGTAAACAAAAACAACAATGACTAAAGAATTCAGTGATTATTTTCTCGAAAATAATATATCGAACTTCAATATTAGAAAAGCATTATTTTAATGCTGCATTTGTATTAAAAAACGTATACACATTATAAAACTTATAAACTACTGTGTTGTGCAGTGAAACTTATATATTGTGTATGGCAACGTTCACTGTGGGTGTTGCCATTTCATGAGAAACTATTTATTTGTGTTTTGTTTTGTGGTCACATATGATTAAACATTCTACACATCATCACCATCATCGTCGATGAAGATGAAGTGACTAAACATTCTTGCCTAAATAAAAAAAATAAAAGTTGTCTACAGTTTTAAGGCTTCAGTTATACAAAATTATAAATTTTGATAGTAAGCTCTCTATAATGGTGTTTTAATTTAAAAAAAAACTATTAATTTATTATAGCGTTTAAAGTTGCAGATAACTTACTTAATTAAAAAAAAACAGTTTAAGATTATTCAAACTTTTTTAGAAATGGAATGTAATTCTATTCCCACCTTGTCTGGCCCCTAAAAATTATTTGAACTTGCTTACAAATGTCTGTCCTAGCAGTTATTTTTGTAACCAATAAAAAGGTTTTTTAAAGTTCACTAACATTCCAGAAGTTTTGTAACATAATTCAAATATTCGTTTTGTTATAATGGTGGATTATCTTATTCTGATAAAGGCATATATGATCACAGTACGAAACAGCATTATTCAGCGGAGCTATCTGTGATTGTCATAGAATAAGTATGTTGATTCGTCGATTTATACCAAATTTTGCCATATTCAGCGCTTATTCTGTCATCATTTCGTTATTCGGGGTTAATTTAAGTAAATACTAGTAGTCGACTTTTAGTAGGCCTAAGCTCTCCTAAAAGTAACTATGGTGTTAATATTTGTAATTGAGTTTTCAAACTAATTTGTACCTAATTGTGTAGGTCAGAGAATCTTCATTTATGTAAGTGCCTTCAATGAGTTAGACTTCTGTACGTAGGCTACAGACGCGAACCTACTGTCTTCCTTTCAATTATTAGTTAGAGTTATTAACGCACTTGTATTAAAATAACCTCTGCATAATCAAATTATAAATGATTTTTCCACAAAGGGCTTGCCCAAAAAAGGCAGTTTATAATTTGTATAATTTGAAATATGACACAATAAGCGCACCCTCAAAGGGAGTGGAGGAAGAGTGTTGCCAGATAATCCGCTGGATATTCCCCATATATTGTACGTGGTTGTAGAAACTTTTTGTACTAGTTTATATATTGAGCCTTTTTTATTATATTGCATTTTTTTGTTAATAAATCATGTGTTGTTGAGGAAATGGAATAATTAGATATTATGTGGCGATGTAGCGAGCTTGTTGCTTTGCGGGTGGTTTCAAATGGTAGCACTGGATCACGTCTGTCAGAAGATATCCCACAATTTTGACTTCAGTTCATCATTTTATTTTTATGGTTATTCAATCTGTATGTGGAATTTAGTGAGCCGTTTATAAAATACAGCCACTTATATAAACTTGGTTTTGCAGTGATTTTATCAAGGGACGCCAAGAAATTAAAGAAAATTTTCAATTTCAAATTTTCAAATCTAAATATTTTATAAATGTATATCTAGTGTATTTTTGTACGGTGTTGTTTTCTGAAAGTTGTGAATTATATTGCCCATTGATATCATTCGTATCGCAACAAAAACTGCCCACTGTGTTAGTCCCAATTTCGAGGGACCATGTGAAATTGTAAAACCCCCCATGTAATATTTTCATTTCAAGCATCTGTTTTTAAATATTTGATACGAGAAAGGGTATCGACAGAACACGTTGACTGAACATATTTATATTATTTTTGACATGTCAACATTTTTGACGATACTTTTTTTCGTCTTGGCTACACGAGGTGTGTTGCCTCATCGATGGTGAGATTTATTTTAGAAAATGAGTGGGAAAAAATATCTAAGCGAATATATTTCCATTGAAGTATAACTATTTTTTGTGTTATTTGTAAGTAATCACTAAAATATTATCTCTTTTAAAGACATCTTTTGTTAAGAGAAACTTAATTTATTTACAAATGCTAAAATCGTA